CCCCAAAACCCCAAAACCCCAAAACCCCATAAGCACTAAAATCAATAAATTAAACTAAAATCAGTAATTAATTCAAGAGTATTTGTTCACAAAATAGTTGAAGTAAATCATTAGGGCCACGAGCAGACTAGTAATCACAAAGAATACATCCTAAGTAAAAAGAACAAACTAATGATTAAACTTATCTAATAAGTTCTAAAATGCCTCTCTGTTTTCCATTTGCATATTCATACTCAATTATAGTATTGTCTGCAAGTAGTATGTACCCATTATCTAAAATTATCAAATATAAACTGGGAATCTTACAAAGGTAAAAATGAGAATAGTGGTATTATAAGAAGTCTTAATTGAGTAGTCTTTTAAAATATTCTTCAAGGAAGTCAATAGATTTCTCATAAAGGATTAGATATTTAGAGCAATCTATGCTCCAATTACAAAAATAGTTGTGTACTATATCAAGATATCCCAGAATAATTCATCCTCTTCCTTGTAAAAGCTCATATTTTTAAGAACTACTTGTCTGAAGTTGCTATTTGACTGCTCTAAATAGTTTGCACTCCAAATCATATTCCTTACTCCCTATATTAATCAATATTTAATAATTCTTACTTAATAGAATTTGAAAATCCAAAATAAAGCTGTGGCTCTTCCAATCAGATAAAAGAATTTACCTCTATATGTTTGCCTATAATTAATCTATTGGGACCATTTCATATATTCGATAACATCTTGTGTATACTATTTCTGTAATGTATTAAGCATTTTTATCTCCTTCTCGTAGTTAGCGATTTCACTCTTCAACATTTCAATACTCTGTTAAAATTTAATAACCTTGTCATCAGCTCTACTACCTGAGAACCAACCAGAGAAAAATCCTACTCCTCTAAAATGATTATATTATCATTGCTTACGATGTAACTTTTTGATGATCTTATTTTTTATCACTGAGCTTTTTTAGTTCGAACTACATTTTAAGTTGCTTCTTTTTGTAATAGGCTATTTGATCAAGAGTATTTTATATTCTTTGCTAGTGAAATTCGAATTGCTGAGACTTTCCACCTTCACAATTTGTTCCCGAAGGCATCTGGTATATATCTTCGATAAAGTAGACATAAATAGTATTAGTGCAAACATAGCCTTGCATGAAGGCATTCATTATAATTCCAATCAAAGTTAAGAACTCTAGTTGGGCATTAGAAGATAGGAGTATTTCTTAAACTCTAGTGAAGAATGATTCAATTTCTTTGTCATTGGGAATTTCAACGTAATTGAAGAACAATACGTAAGCGATTGCAAATAGTCCTAAAAAGACGCAAATACTGTAGTCATTTATATAGAATTTATAATTACCAAAGTATAGCAAGAGCTTTATGCTTTATTCTCTATCGCTTCTGAGAAGAGAAAAAATTTCTGATGAGAGCTACTGGCACAAAGAAAACCAAAATTATATCCATAGATAAAAATAGTATTTTCCATAGATATTTCGTGGACCTTTAAAAATATATAATGACTTGTAAAATTTATGTTGACTTACTATAAATCTTAGATTTAAAGGACCTCGAGCAAAAAATTAACAAGCATCGTCAAGCATAAGCCAAAAGTAATACAAAATAAGTACTTGTTTGCTCAAGATTTCAATTCTTGGTCTGAGAACAAACTGAATGTAAGAAAGTAAATAGAAAAACAGAATCCGAAGCCAAACCAGAATAAATCAATCGCAATTATGTATAATAAGGAATTTTACATCTTGTTTTTATACAATCATCTAAATTTAAGGCTAAAAGAATTGGGGTTTTGGGGTTTTGGGGTTTTGGGG